ATACACAAATCTTCCTAATTGTAAAATATTACTTCGTTGTGAAAATAACTGAATGGCAATATAAATTTATGCTTAGCTTCATTAGTCAATGTCACTACCATAAAAAGTTTAGCTTGTCTCTATCAAAAATGACTACCTAATGTCTACCTGACTCACACCCCAGTTATGTCCTATAGCATATTTCAGCTCACGTGTTGATGATGCAAATTCTATGTCATCTCCAAAATTAACCCTTAAATTACCTAATATAGCTATACACGTCGCTTCTAGAACGTCTAAAATAATCCCAATAAAAAAACATTTCTCACGTGTGTCAACCAAAACCTCATGACAACGGTCCAATCTTTGCCATATGTCCTACTATTACTCATCTACTTCTTTCACCCCAAAAAACATTTTAAAACCGTCTGAAAATACTAAATTAACCCCTAACTCACCATTTCGAATGGAAATGACACTTTTTGAGAAAAAAATCTCAAAATTCTTAACCCATTCGTAGACATGTGCGGTAAAAAAAACGTTTTTTGTCGAGTTCAGTAACCAGATCGGGATTAAAAATACAGTTATTTTAGATTTTTTGTCGGCTCAGTGGTTTTGTAGTTACGTACAAGTTGAGTTATAATTAAGAGCCACATGTCACAGTTTTAGGGATTGAATGTCGATGATCAGTCGATACTTTTGTCGATTTGTATTTTGCTTTAGACTTTTTCGCATACGTCTCTTACTTTATCCAAAACTTTACTACTGTAATACTCTGAATCTTTTTTATTTTATTAACTAGTGTTTTATCTCTAGGTAATACCTACATTTACATAGGTACCTATTTTGAAATTAACAACGTAGCCAGTGTTGGTTAGAAGTATTTTTTATAGACAATAAATAAGTACCTTATTAATTGATCAAGCCTTCCTCGTTGTTTTGTACATAATTTAGATGCGTAACGAAGCGATATCTATCTTAAATCTACAACAAATTTTACAATCTAAAATGACGAATGGCTCTAGGCAGCTGTACTGTTTGTTATTTTTTTATACATGCCTTCTATTCGTGTTAAAAATATCTGGAGTAAAAATTCAGCATTCATTGACTCCAAAAACATTCCTATCGACAATCAGCCCATCCCTAGCGCACTTGCTCTACGCCATAAATCAAGCTAGCGCAGGCGGTATCGATGATATTACGCTATGTAATAATAAAAACACACGTTTGTTTAATTATCGTTTTTTACGTGCACTGTTTACTTACTTAATTGTTTGGATGCGCTGCACTTTGGTATTAACTGAACGGTTAAAATTAGACTTCAAAGGAAAATAAAGTGTTTACGTTAAATTGTAAAGTTCTGCTGACATAAAATACCTATTGATTAAGCATTGGTACTAGAGTTAGCCTCTAATCTAAAACTCAAAGGTGACTGACTGACTGATTAACTGACTGGCATAGTGATCTATCAACGCACAGCCCAAACCACTGGACGGATCGGGCTGAAATTTGGCATGCAGCTAGATGTTATGACGTAGGCATCCGCTAAGAAAGGACTTTACGAAACTCCATCCCTAATGGGTTAAAACGGGATTCACGCGTACGAAATCGCGGGCGGCCGCTACTGACGAATAATAAGAGATTTCCACGTGTTAAAAAAGCTTAGAAGTCTCTGATTTGTTTGATAGAGACCTGTGGAAGGAACATAAGTCACTTCGATCAATTATTGGATAGTTTGTAGTACCTAAATTAGTGCAGTTGACTGCATATTTTATGTAAATGGATATCCCACCAGTCAGAACACATTTGTGGTGCAAAATAGAACTCCCCAAGCTGGCCAGACGGGCTGGTGATACCTGAAGTTCACTCTTCATGAATTCATGAAATGAGTGGGAGAGGTCCTATTCCATAATGTCGTACAAAACAGCCAAAAGGTAGTACATGTAATTATTAATTATAATGAACTACTTTGAAACAAAAATGTTGTCTGATGAAGAGCTATTGACTCTACATATTTGTAACTAAGTTTGCATTGGATTGCAAGTGTACATCAAACTTTTTTAGACTGTTGCATTGAAATAAAACGCGTCTATGTGTCATAACGTGACTCAACATGCGGTAACATTTGCGGCGCATGCGCCGAACAAAAAGACTATAGATAATATTATTTTATACGACGATATCCGCCGAGTGGCGGGCTATTTTTGTGCTGTCATTCATGTCATTTTGAAAAAATGTTGATAGAAAGTTTGGAGATAAAAAGATGATAGCTCGGGAGGTGACTGAAGTCTTTGATAGATGGAAGAACGATAGAAGTAATTAAAGAGTTCTGTTAAGAAATATATATTATAGAGATATACATATGTATCTCAAATTTTAACCTAAGATTGAGTACCTATTGAATGGGTGATCAATATAGATAGCCTTTTTAGATAGCACGAGAAGTATTTTTATAAGGAAAGCTTAATCCGTTATGTGGTAGGTAGGTAAACTATGTAATGCTTTATGTAGAGTTAGGTAATGACGGTAGGAACAAATAGTTTATTATTTATTTTGTCTGGTTAACAAACGATTGCATTTATGCATATCATAAAAGCGTTGGCAAAAGCTCTCTACATTCATATGACTTTATTGGAACTTTTAAGGGCAAATAAAACAAAAAACTAATTGTAATGATTTGGTTTAATACAACACTAATTAAGTATAATTTACAATGATCAATAAATGTATTGCGTCACCTATCAACCCACCACAGCGTCGTATCTCGAATTTGAACTTATTTGCTAAAAAAAAATTAAGCAAATTAATTTTGTTTTTAAAAATCGTCCGCATATTTTTGGCGCTTCTTTTATGGCAAATGTTTTTAAAATTATCACTTATTTTTAACAATATAAAAACTAATTGTTAAGGACGTCGCACATTTAACAACCTGGAAAGGGGATCGTAAATCAACTTGAGGTGGTCAGTTAACACCTTTACTGCGGCAGTAACTTTCTAATACTTTCCATTCCTTCGGTACAAGGTCAGTAAACCTGGTATTAAAACTTACATTGTGGCGGCACAAGGCTTAAAGACCTTGTAATATTTAAGATATATTAATTTTATTTTTGGCTTCATGTTAATAGATATTGTGTTTTTTTTCTTTGAATATTAATAATTATGCATTTATTGACATACACCTGAAGCCGTTCGTGAATAACTTGTTTAGTATAAAAATTATAGCTATATTCAAAATACAAGGCTTATGCACCCTGTGCCGCACTGAAGTAGGGAAGTCTGGTGGGTATTCTAGGGATGTGAAATACAAATATCGATAGTTTAAATTAAGTTATAATAAAAATTTAAAAAAGTAACAAACAAAGATGTTTTAATAATTTAGTCTAAATATTTTACAAATAAGATATACGTGCACAAATACTTAAATAAGCTATATTTAAAGAAAACATATTATTTAATAACATTTAGTTACAACTTCAAATGTTTGTCACGAAAAACATTATTTAAATTAGCAATAAATCGTGTAGCAAATTAAATTATAATCAATTTGCAGTTTTGATTTTGTTTGTTTCTCTTGACGCCATGTCGACATGTGCGTTTCTTACGAATGCGAGGCAACACTGGCTGCACGAAGCTAGCGTGGGGTGCGGTACCAGGTGCGCAGGGTACAAGATGCTTCGACCTGGTTTCGCATTATGAAGACATTTTATTACTTCCGTGCGGTACCAGGTCTAAAAACCTGGTATTAAGGTAGGTATATCATTGGATTCTATTTTAAGAATACATCATAGATATATATTCATCACTTTCCTACACCGGACCCAATTCAAGTTATGCCTTTCGCACGACAAGGAAGACTATAATTTTCTTAGCCGCACGGTAAGCGAGACGTGCACAAGGTCTATAGACCTGGTTTCGCACTCAACGTGTTAACTTTGTATGAAACTCCATACTGCAACGCACACTTATCTTATCCGCACCGTAACGTAAGCGCCTCGCATCGCGATTGACAGAGCGCAAAAGGCGATGACAGTTCGCAAAAGGCGATACGGTTTTGATCCCTTTCAGAGTTGATGAGACTGCTATGAGTTCAATTAAGGCCCAGAACAGACGGTGAAACGCAACTGCAACGAAACCGCAACTGCTAGTTACTTTTGAGTTGCATCTAAGTTTCTGCCATAGCGTCCGTTGAGAGACCACACATGACGCGACCAGTTTGAAACTTTCAGTTTCAGTTTCATTCATAAGAATCATCAGAAAGCTGCAGTTTCGTTGCAGTTGCGTTTCACCGTCTGTTCTGGGCCTAACTGAATTTTGCAAACATTCTATATTTAAATGCACAAACTCAAAACTAAAAACTAGTGATGAATGATAAATATCCGGTTTTTTGTATTCGAGACACAACACTATCACTTCTAACCCTCACATACTATTTAGCTAAATTAACATACCAATAATAACAATCAATTCCCTGAAAAAACCCAAATAGGTACTTATTGCTTAATTTATAAAATGCAATACGGAATTTCTATTGTACTTAAAAAAATGTATTTTGAAAGTTACTTTATGCAAAGAAAAAGTATTATTGTGATTCATTTAAAAAAAGCTATATTATTATCACTAGCAGGTAAACGTTCCACAAAAAATAATTGTCAAATGGATTTTAAAACCTAAAGCGAGGTTTAGACTATCAATAAAATTTGCAAAAGTTGACTTCCGCAAGCTGTCACCACTGTATAAATGTTGCAGAAGTTGGCTTGCCACAGCTATTTACACAGTGGTGACAGTTTGCAGAAGTCAACTTCTGCAAGTTTGATTGCTAGTCTAAACTTCGCTTTAGTATCATCAAAAAAAAAAAATTTAATAGTTGTTGACGTGCTAATGAGTAGTTTAATAATAAAAGAAAAGTTTAGTTACTTGTTTTTTGGAAAAAAAGGATTTAAATGGAATCTCCAAAGTAATTTTGTTAGCACAATTTACATTAAAATGTTGACGTGAATGATCGTGATTTTATACTTTACATATTTATTGTTACTGCAAGTCAGGTATACGTTTAATTTATCGATCATATACTAGTGTTACAGATATACATACATACTTGTGATATGATTAGGTTCACCCTCTTAATTTAACTTTAATTACTCGTACTTTATATCAGAATATTCAACCAAACTTTTATGTATTATTCATTATTATTACTTCATAAATGCAGTAGTTTAGAAATGCAAGAGTTTATTTTCGTAAAAAAGAAATTTCGAAAAACTTTACGTAGGTACAGTGAAAGTTTTTACTACTAAGTATTTTTTCTAAATTTTCTACAACATGAACGATTTAATATGCAATAGTTATAATAAGTAAACGTGTACACGCGTCTAATTTTACCGTTTAAAGAATTTACAATTCATGATTATCATGATAAATATTTACATTCTAAAACTTACGCTAACAAAATAAAAAGCAATTCCATGGAATTCAAAGAAGAAATACAAAATAAACGCAGCCACGGAATATGGCACGCTCTCTTCATTCATCAAAAATACAATTTAATTTATAACAAGCATTAAAAAATAAAACATCAGATCATTGTAAATAACAGTCACAAACCATCGCAAAATAAATGATGAAAACCAAAAGAATTCAATCGGTCTTATCGCAAATATTTAATTTTAACATAATATTCTTAGACCATTTAAAAAAACCTAAAAAATAAGTAGATTTATTAAAAAATATTTTTAAATCGAAGCAGACAAGTGAAAACAACTGAACGCTACGCGTATATTTCACTAAGACTTCACTTACAACTTCATATTATAGCCAAATACAACTACTTATTGTTCTATTTTTAATTTACAGTTGACGATTAAATATTTTTAAATATTGATATGGACCTTTAAAGGTTAATCATCGTTGACTGCCAATCGTGTGGCTTAATTCGTTTTCATCTAAAAATTCTAACACTTATGCTCTACCACTAAAAGTATTTGAAAAGTCCACAGCTACCAAACTTAAGAATAAAAAAATAATAGAAAAAGAACATAAAACCTATAATACTTCAGTATCCCGTTAAAACCGGGCTCACTTAAAAGCAAACAAAATATTTGGTAAATCCTAACTTACAATTCCTCACGTCGAGATCGTCCACTTTTATAAAAACTTCAACAGTGAACACATTACAATCTATAACACAATGCTAATAACTTGAAATAGATCTACACCCGTAAATATAAACTGTATTACATACTGTTATATCGCTAAACGCTAACGCAAAGAAACGTCATTATGTCAGCAGAACAATAATTCACATCACTAAATCACTTTAGTGTTACAAATTCACTTGCTTCACTTCTGTCGATCACAATAACACTTGCAGGTCGACGCGTGATTGAGGGTTTACTTGTCAGATCTTTGCTCGTTGAGGGACAAGTTCTCGGCCTCGTCCTTGATGTGGGATATCGAGGGGCGGTACCGGTCCTCTGAGCGAGGGTAGTCGTCGTAGGGGCTGGTCTCTCCGGACCTGTTGCTTGAGGACTCCTTGGTGGAGTTTGCGTAGTCTCCTGCAACCAAGATTTACACTTCTCTTTAGGTACCCACAAATTATAGCTGTAGAGTAACCCCTTGCCCCTGGGAGAGTATCGTGTTCCTGTAGTGGAGACAAAAATGCCCTGATGATTAATAGAATGTAGAAAGTGTAGTTTAAAATGAATTTCATGATTTTGTTAATGTATTTTTCTATTATTAGGAATTCGCTGCCTGCTGATGTCTTTCCTGAACACTATAATCCGGGCCTTTTCAATCGAGAGTGAATAGGCAGTTAGGCACCTATAGGAGAGATTATTTACCATCCTAGACTGCATCTCACTTAAAAGCAGGTGCGATTGCGGTCAAATACCTGCCTTGTTTAAATGCATAAAAAAGTGTATACTAAACTAATCCTACCTTTATTAGAATAATCCGAAGCCTGCATCTCGTTTTTGAGAGCGTATATGTTGGGCTTGATGTCCTGTGCCTCGCTGGCGCTCAGGTCTTCGGCTTTCACGTCGTGGGACGAACTGCTGCTGCCATAGCCGTTCATCATCGGTGGTCTGCTAAAAATGTAAGAATAGTTGTCATCAAATGCTTTGCACAGAATTAAGTGACGCGTGTCTAACTTAGACTTTGTTAAACTATTTCTTAGACCTTTCCTTTCCGTAGCTGTAAGCATTAAACTTGCTTAGAGTAAAGTCTTTGGTTAGAGTTGAAACATCTCTAGCTACACTTCTAAGTATAATTGTGTTATGCTCATATGATAGGCCTAAAGCAATAGGAGTTAAATTAAAATCATGCTTCTTGAGGACTGAAATATTTTAGCATACTTGTAATCATCGTGAGAAGACGGATAGTCATCTGTCTGCATAATGTGATCATCGTTTGACATGTATGAGAGGTTGCAGTCTTCCATCATACCCTGTAAACAACATTTTATTTTTAGTTCATAACTTATGTTATATTTTACGTATATTAACCATTGATATTAACTATGTAAATTGATATGGGTTCAAAATTTAGATTTTGTACCTGAAGATTCCGTTTGAGAGCTTCACTGTAGCCGTGGGGGCTAGTCATCATTGGTGGGCTTTGGGCTCCCATGAACCTGTGGTAATAATGAATCATTATAGAACATTGTAGAGAAACAAACATAAAATAAAATCTTTCTTATTATCTTTAACTCAAACTAAATGTACTTTGATTCAAATGTTTTCTTTGATTTTCTTTTTTGCAACAAATTACTGATCTCAACGTTATTTGCTATAATTATAAAAAAATAAAATAAAAAATAAATACCCGGGCCATTTCAGACCTTTCAATAAAGGTGCAAAACCGTTATTGAATGTACTACCAATAATTGTAGATTTTGCAAATGTGTATTATGTAAAGTGTACAATTTTGAATGAAAAGTCCAATTAGTCTGTAAAAGTGGTTGTGTCTTAGTGACGTGTTGTGTGTGTGTGAAAGAGAAAGATAAATAGAATAATAAAAATAGAGTACAAAAGGCAAGCTTATGAAATATAAAAAGGTAATAAAATAAAACTATCTACCATGCGACGAAAATGCAACATGCGAAGCGTAGAAGCAGACCTTACCTGAATATCAGAGACATAGGATAACAAAACATGCAGATGTTAGATGGGAGAAAAGAAAAGAATCAAGAAGATCTCTTGTCTTACTTGGGTATCCAACGACGATCCTTCTTTACAATCATAATATTATACATGCAATAATATATATCAACATGGTCGCAGTTATTGGTACATCTTACGAGTATCAAGTACAAATTAAAATATATTGGAAATTACATTAGCAACAAATGTATGATTAAGCTAATTTATTAAACAAGTTGTATTATAATTGTGATGTTAAAAACTATAGCAAAACAATTGGTTATAGCTTTGCACTCTAAGAGTCTATGATATAAATGTGTACTTGTTATTCAGAAGAGGCCAAAGCTTTTATGACTAGAAATGTAATAAGTTCTTTTGAAGTGCTCTAAAATATCACGAAGTACACATCTATTCATATTACTATATTATATTGGAACAATCACGTGATTCTAGTTACATTCTAACATGACATGTTGAAATTAATCTAAAGCTTACACAGTGAGACACTTTACATTGTAATGGTCAGAAACATCAATCTATCGAAATCGAAAGTTATCACTTAGTCTACGGATTAGTGTTTGTGATAATTTCCGATCAGGTCAGATATTTCACATACAAATGTGCTATATTTGGACGCGATCGCCCAACGATTCTCATTGGATACAATAGAAAGGACTCTCGGTTCCATCAAACAATTCCAAACATACAAATGTGGACGAAAATACATCATGTAACTTGTCATGGTCAAATATTCATGATTCAAAACTGCTCATTCTTCTGAAATCCTGCATCTGGTGCAATTTGCATTATGTTTTCTTATATAAATCTTTAATGAAAGTAGAATCTGGTATAATGAAATACGTATGTTTCAAGAACAAAGCTGCTGAAAAGAAAACTTTTCAACTGAAAGTGAAAAGTGTTTCTGTGATAGTGCTTTGAAAATTCATCATTCAGGATTTGAATTCGAGGCAGTGTAGAAACACAAACGTTGAGAGGGTCAGATAGATTCGTTGGACGGTCGCAACTCGGATGCGGCGGCGCCCTTACTGTGGAGGCGGGGCGTTGGGCGCGGGCTCGTACTTGCGCGGACGCCCGCGGCTCAGGTGCCGGCGCTTCACGAACTCCGCGTCGTCCACCATCCAGAAAGAGCCGAAGTCGTCCTCGTAGCGCACGAAACATTTGTGCAGAGACAGGTTCGTCCGGATCGCATTCTATAATTCATCGGCATTTAGAACGAATCTACGAAATCGACGCGATTCACTCACTTAAAATTATTTTTGTGCTTTCATCGCGTTTTAGTTTTGCAGCGATGAAAGCACAATCAGATCGTCGTGGAAGTACATCTTGTGATATGACATGCAGGATTCGATGGCCCAAGAAGAGAGACCCCGAAGGAACGGACAGATGACAGGAGCGAGGTTAATAGGCAAGCGAGAAAAACGTTATTCACCGTGGCGCTGAAATTCACGTACACACACATATAACGAGACCTAAATACAAAATACAAGACCTCACATGGCGTGGCGCCGTAACAGATAATATCAATAATACTAATATCTGTTATGACACCACTTACAAATCCAATTCAAAATTCACTACACAAATAATTACAAAGTCAAATCTGAAATGAGATAAAACGTTTATTTACACAATAAGAGTTAGACACATGGCTAGGTTAGATAGAAAATATTTAAGAGAAGATTAAAATATTGAATTTAAAATCTGTGAAGTGTAGCGATGTGAATGTGTTGAATGTAAAATTGGTTAGTGTTTTATTTTATTTCATAAAAATTCTTGTATTGTGTTTGTTCTTCATTTAAAACAAATTCAGTTTTATTTTAAATCTAATTGAATAAGATTTTGCAAAAATATTTTTTACAACTGTCATTAAATGATTATTATAATGTTTCAGTGTTTTTGTGGGTTATGTAATTTGTATGCTGTTATTGTATGATTTGTGATCGTTTTGTGGATTACGTGCTGGAAAATAATGGTGGTCTTCAACTGTATATTAGATTTGAGGACTATTATAGTAGTAGGTACTTATAATAGAGTAAAAGTGTCAGATTTTTGTAAAGTTACAGTTCTGGCTTAGTTAGCTTATTAGTCTGAGAATAATAATAGGATTGTCCAATATGATAGCTATATTGATTTTAAGAATAGGTACCTCCTAATCGTCTTGTTGTTGGACAACATAGTAGTTATGTAATGATATAAATGTCATTATTATTTTTTTTATTCAAATCGCAAAATATTTTTTGAGTGGTAATGTAGTAGCTATAAAACTTTTAGTTTAACTTTTGTCTAGAGTTATAAACCATGTCCAAGTCCATGTCAAGTATTTTTCAAACAAAAAATATTTGAAGAATAATTAATGTTTAGTATTATGTTTATTGTATGTAACAAGCTTGTATAAGTGATTATTAATAATTTGACGTAAATCATAGTCGTATATACCTATATTAATGGTGTTTTTTATGTGTGGTTGTATATTATAATGCTGTGTATAAGTGTGTGACAAAGTAGTGTATTTTACCTGTGGTGAAATAGGTGTAATTTTTTCAGTAGTATTGTGTGTCGGTGTTGTATTGAATTTAAAGATAAAAAATAATTGTGTAAACATTGTAGTTCTGTAAATGGTATTTTGTTAGATGTCATGCAGTTACTTTTTTAGTGTTAGAGTTGATTTCAATAAATGTAAATCATTATATTGTATGAATTGTATGTAGGTATATTAGAAAATGTTTGAAGGAGTGAGCCAAAATTAATGTTTTGTTTCCGAATGTTTACTTTACTTGTTTGGAGTGTAATTAATTTGTCTCGGTTAAAATTATATTTGTTTTTCATGTCCAAGTGTGATAAGTGTTGAAAAGTGTTCTTGGTAATAAGTATTTTGTGTCCAAGTGTGACAAATGTTGGGAGGTATTATAGTATCCCAGGTGGTGTAAGTGTCGGTCGGAAAGTGGTTTAGTATCCAAGTGATACAAAATTTGTAGTGTTTTGTTTTTGTGTCGAAGTGTGACAAGTGTTGGGAAGTGTTTTAGTGTTGAAGTATGATAAGTATCGGATGGTGTTTTAGTGTCTAAGTGTGATATATATCAGAATGTGTTTAAGTGTCAAAGTGTGACAAGTGTTTAAATGTGTTTTTGTGTCCAAGTGTGATAAATGTTGGAAATTCATTCAGTGTCCAAGTGTGATAATTGTTGCGAAGTGTTTTAGTATCAAAATGCGTTGAGTTTCGAAAGGTGTTTTGGTGTTCAAGTGTCTCAAAGTGTTGGGAAGTGTTTTAGTTCATGTGATAAAAAAGTAATAGTGTCAAAGTACAATAAATGTTGGAAAGTGTTTGGGAATAAATGTTGTGAAGTGTATTGGAGTCGAAGTATGTGAAGTGTTTTCGTGTAGAATTGTGATAATTGTTTTAAGTGTCGAAGTGAGATGTGTTGGGAAGTGTTCAAGTGTAACAAATGTTGGGTAGAGTTTTAGAGACGAACGTATGATCAGTGTTTGAAAGTGTATTGGTGTAGAAATTTGACAAGAATTGGAAATTGTTTTTGGATCAGTGTGACAATAATTGGAAAGTGTTTTGGGGTCGAAGTGTGATAAGTATCTTTATGTGAAAGTGTTGAGAAGTGTCTTTATAAAAGTCTGTATGGCACGGCGGGCTAGGGCCGTACCCGGGCGCGTGCATCGGCGGCGGCGGCGCGTGCGCGGCGCGCTGCGGGCGCCGTTTGTAGAACTCCACCTCGTCCACGGTCCACACGGCTCCCTTCACGTTCTCCACCCTCATGAAGCATTTGTGGAGCGACAGGTTGTGACGCACCGCGTTCTGTTTTCGTACTGGCCAGTCTTTATATGGTCGCGGTAGTGGCATTGTGACAAATCACTTTGAAGTGTTTTAGTGATGTGTTACAAAATCACTTTTTTGTTTTTTGTGGTTAAATTGATTTTTGTTTTCAAAGTGAATTGTCATCTAAATAAACAGTAGCATTGTCTACACAGTAGATACAGTTGAAATAAGATGATTAATCATTAGGTTACAACCATTTACATTAAAAGAGTAATTCAATGTTTTTCAGTATGCGTCATTTATTTATACTTTTTTTTACTGAAAAACAATGAAAATATGATGAAAATTATACTTAAACACTTAAGATTAATGTTTTCTAAATTATACAGTTACCTTATAGCATCATGGTTCGAAAAATAAATTGTCCATTAAAATATTTCAACTAAGTTAAATGAAACCTATCTTACTTTTAAAACTTTAATAATATCTTATTTTAATTCAGAATTTTACTGATTCAAAATGCTTTTTATATAATCTTTAATCTTTGAATAGTATTTTGCATGAAACAATTTTACTTTATTGCTATTATACGAATTTCGTATGATTTTAAATTCAATTTACAATTAAATGAACTATGTATGTTAAATTGAGCAACTAAAATCTAAAACATACCTTCCAGGTCGCAGCATTGCGTCTGAAGTAGCAGAACGTAGTCTGGAACCAGTTGTAGATCTCATTCAGCGTCAGCTGCTTGTCTGGAGATTCAATAATAGCCTGAAATATAAAAGATATGAAATTAATAAATCAATCAGCGTATCTCATCTAATAAAGAGTATATTTTTTCATAGGAAATAATTCTGGTCAAAATAATGTACCCTGAATAACCCCATACCAAATTAATAGGAAATCTTCAATCAATATAATTAAAGTAATTTCGTCCAATCCCCAATATTTATGATACTAACAGATATAAGCAACATGATTAAAATAAGACTGAATAATAAATATCAGTAATTTATAAAGTCGCCGCAAAATGAACAATGTAAAAAGCTTTACTCAAAACCAAAATGTCACTAACCTGTCGAATCAAAGAAGCGTAAGTGAACGGTGGCCGAACGTCTGCACTCTTGTAGAACTCGCGATTGCGTTGGATTTCTGCAAAAGTTATTAATAATTATAATTAAATATTCTTTAAACTGCTGGATATTGAAGTTTGTAATCATTATTTATTACCTTGCTGAACATCTAATCCAGCTCTTTCGAGCATGTATGGCAGACCTTGTGACATACAGGAGAAATCGTTATTGTAAGATCCTCATACCTCTATCTACTAGCTAGATTGGTGTCTCAAGTAAAAGTTATTAAGACAATTTAGTAAAGAAATGGCAATGCCAGATTTTGTATGGAAAGTGGCGTCTTTTTTTTTTTCGCGCGGCCCTCGACCAAACTTTGTTTTTTGATTACAAAATAGTGTAATAAACCAAACCTACTATGACATGTATACCTCTAAACTCAGTCTGAACTGAGTTACGAGAATTAGAAGTTTGATGATTTTCATTCTAGATTTGCTTATTGTGCGCAAGTTTTGTAAGAAATTGCAACAAAATATTGCGCTATTTTTTTATTGCGCTGATTCTGCTCCATACTGATGTCTGGAGCCTTTAATGGATGGTATTGTTTGTTTACACATACAATCTCACTATTTTGTTGCAATTTGTTAGAAAACTTTGCGCGCAAAAAGCAAATCTAGTATGAAAATCATCAAACTTCTAATGCTCATAACTCAGTTCAGACTGAGTTTAGAGGTATACATGTCATAGTAAGTTTGGTTTATTACACTATTTTGTTATTAAAAAAACAAAGTTAGGTCGATGGGCGCGCGAAAAAAAAAAGACGCCAATTTCCGGCATTGTCTTTTGATTTGATTTGATTTAAAATTTAATGAAAATATATTTACCCCCAGCAATGGCGACGCCAGATTTGTCTGATACACGACGCCTGACGGGTCCTGGAGATGCACCCTCACTAGCTGCTCCTAGAAAAATAAAATACTCATTACTGCTTTAATTATGTTGGTTAATCTTTACTGGTTGGTTTACAACACTTTAGGCCTTTGTCTGTCACTATTTGAATGTGTTGCTATTCTTCTTTCAGACAATTTGGTGTTAATTATAGGGCATAATGACGTGTGTATCTATAGAGGCGCCCTTAATCGCATTTATGTACTCGAAGCATCAGGCATCACCAGCTCGTGTGACCAGGGTGGGCAGTGTAGCCCAAATCCTTCATTTTCCTCTGGTAAATTAGAGAGGGTCGCCCTGCTGCAGGAGAAACTTAATGACCTGAAGATGTGTTACTAGCCTAGGGGTAGCTAATTGGTTAGGTTTTCATTGGCGGTCAAGTTGTAGGTACATCCTGGCTACACAGGAGTTGCAACGATGGGAACAAGAGGTGAGACTGAGAATAGTGTAGCGTGCGGCGTGCAAATGACGCATCATGGCGGCGAGGCTGTAGATCCCGGCTAACAGGAGTTGCAACGATGGGAATAAGAAGTGGAAATAGTCCTTACCGTGCGCGTGCTTGGTAGCGTGGTGCGCGTCACGTGCAGCGTGCAGGTGACGCATCATGGCAGCGAGGCGGTCAAACTGTAGATCCCGGCTACACAAGAGTTGCAGCAGTGGGAACAAGAGGTGGGAATAGTCCTTACTGTGCGCGTGCTTGGTAGTATGGTGAGCGTCGCGTGCAGCGTGCAAATGACGCATCATGCATCTACAGATGTCTAGCAAGGTAGGCAGTTCCTCTGTTGTTGAGGATTCTGAGTGATACTTGATTCCACCTGCGGCCTGGTCATCACTTTCCATCAAGTGAGATGTAGGCCAAGAGCTTCCTCGTTGAGGATTAAAAATACACTTAATAGTGCTTACCATGTGTGTGCTTGGTAGCGTGGTGCGCGTCACGTGCAGCGTGCAAATGACGCATCATGGCGGCGAGGCGATCAAGCTGTAGATCCCGGCTACACAGGAGTTGCAACGATGGGAATAAGAAGTGGAAATAGTCCTTACCGTGCGCGTGCTTGGTAGCGTGGTGCGCGTCGCGTGCGGCGTGCAATTGACGCATCATGGCGGTGAGGCGGTCGCGCTCGCGGCGCAGCTGCAGCTCCAACTGAGCCACCACCTGCATCTACAGATGTCTAGGAAGGTAGGCAGTTCCTCTGTTGTTGAGGATTCTGAGTGAAACTTGATTCCACCTGCGGCCTGATCATCACTTTCCATCCAGTGAGATGTAGGCCAAGAGCTTCCTCGTTGAGGATTAAAAATACACTTAATAGTTCTTACCGTGTGCGTGCTTGGTAGCGTGGTGCGCGTCGCGCGCAGCGTGCAAATGACGCATCATGGCGGCGAGGCGATCAAGCTGTAGATCCCGGCTCCACAGGAGTTGCAGCGGTGGGAATAGTTCTTACCGTGCGCGTGCTTGGTGGCGTGGTGCGCGTCGCGCGCAGCGTGCAAATGACGCATCATGGCGGCGAGGCGGTCGCGCTCGCGGCGCAGCTGGAGCTCCAACTGAGCCACCACCTGCATCTGAACCCGAGCCTGCGCCGCTGATCTGTCGTCCAGCGTGTGCGCCGCTTCCAGGTGCCTAGAGAAAATTATACAACAAATTCATTGTTTGGCCTAAAGGACAACTCTTTTTAATGCAGAACTAGGCAGGGATTTGATCACAATCGCACCAGCTGATACACATTGTAAAACAACCAGGGTTTTACAATGTGTTTTTCTAATTAAATAAATAAAATAAAAATAATGTACTTGATCATATCTAAATGATTGATTGCAACTGGTAGAGAATGCCATACAATAAGGTTTTGCATGCAATAAAGGTTTTAAATAAATCAATAAAATTAACAACAGTAAATGCACGTGTGTGCCAATTTCAATGGTGATTTTTTATAAATTGACAGCATCTCCTAGGTTTCTGGTGGAATGGTTATTGGTTAATTTAATTAACGCATCCAATCCAATCATGCCAGTTATGTGACGCTGTGAGTCCAAAAGTGATGGAAAATACATTCTGTGAAACTGATGAAGAATTTGAAACTGGATTGAGCAAGGAAGACTTACTTGAGGAAAGCCTGGTAGTCCTCAGCCAGGGCATCACACCCCGGCCACTTGCAGACCCCGCGCCCGAAGAGCGGGTGCTCCTCAACCTCGCCGCCCCATAGCATCAGACCTAGGGAATGATTCAGACCTAAGAAATTAATAATGTAACAGTGCTCACATAAATATTATACTTAAGTATATTGAAATAGTATACAAAATGAAGAATTATTAATTCCCCTATAGTCAAAGCAACTGTAAACATCGATTAGTTGCAAACTTCTTTATAATGTTGGCTCAATATTCATTGAGCCAACATTATAAAGAATCCATGTTCTTTGTGATCACGTATCCTTGAATCCTGAATGACTTATATAATTCACATAATATTTTGTATTTGTAAGCTGAACGCAAACGCAAAAAATCGAAAAAGCTGTAAAAATATTTGTAATCTTTCAGATTTTGACCATAAAAGAATAGTTTCTGTTAATACATAATCTGGAAATTTTAAAGTAGACTGAAATAAGCTATAATATAATACTAGAATTGTGTCTGTAGACCCAGCAGTTCCCGACATAAATTCTTTCAAAATTTCATTCTATCGAAGAAGTGCTGTAGCCCTTCAAGTACCAGCAAATCAAGACGCACTAGAAATCAATTGTTACCACGGGCAGGTTCGATTGCGACCGCTTAGGGTTAAACAGGATATTGAGACTATTAAAAAAGTAACGATAATAATTTAAAAGTACTAACCTGGTGGGGCATTAGGCGGCACAGAAAGCGGGCCATGCATCAGGTACTGGCGCTGCACCGCCTGCAGCTGCTGTACTAACTGCTGCTGCTGCGCGCCCAGCTGCTGCTGCAGAGAGCCTGGAGATGGAAGCGATAAATCAGTTTCCAGCACCACGTTACATGACATCGTTCGTTCGTTTCAGCCAAATGACGTCCACTGCTGGACAAAGGCCTCCCCCAAGGTTTTCCACAATGAACGGTCCTGCGCTGCCCTCATCCAGGCTCTTCCTGCGACCTACTACGTCTTCCAACCCGTGGTCGCCACTCGACATGACATAAGCTTCTTCAGCAAGTTCCTAAAGATAATCTCTAACCCAAAATAGGCCGCGCCTAAAAAGTTTAGTGATAGAGTACTTATTATTATTCTGTGGATCACCACAGAACTGACTATCAAGTCAGTTTCCTCCAGCACTATACATGATGGAAGCTTCTGCAATTTTTCAGCAAGTTCTTAAAGAGAATCTCTAGCCCAAAATGGGTAACCTCATCCAAAAGTTGCAGTGCCACTAACTGTGTCAAACGCGCATATGCGTTGCGCTTCTAGAAATTGTGTGAAATGAAAGTAGCGCAACAATTGTGCCACAGTGGCGTCACTGCAGTGCTTCCTCGAGCTTTAAATTTGAAGGCGCTCAATCTTTCACATTAAATTCCTTTCCTAATTCTGATCTTCAAGTACCATAAGAATAATACAATTCAAGTAGATACCATAAGAATAGTAAACTCACCAGGTGAAGTATCAGGCGGCGGAAGGTGGGACTGTGATAGCAAGTTCAGGTTTATCTGGTCCTGGAGACGAGACTGCTCCAGCTGCCTCTTGGCTGCCTCCGATGACATGTGCTAGAATGATGAAGAAGACATAAATATGGTACCTATTAGGGATTTTGGGATAAGTACCCACATGGTTAAGGTAAGGGTTACTGTGTCTATGAACACAGTATGGTGAACAAGACGAACATGTTTTCATTTGAAGTTTCTACTACTTTTTTTTTTAAAAGAATGTAGATGTTTTTGCACAAATTACTAATAGTCCCGTTAGCCCCTCGTACTAAGCCAAATAATGCTTGTGTGGGGTTCGAACCCGCGTTCCTCGGATGACGAGTCGGCCAGTCCGACCTCTTCACCGTTCGGCTATCGTGGCTTTTCTTCTTGAATAAGTAGCAGAAATAAGGAGCGCACAAAAGCAAGTCCTGCGATGATGCTCAGACGCTGTCATTGGTATACGAGTAAGTAGCCCTCCAAAACCCCTGGAAATAGGTAGGATAGTACTTTTTTCTACATCATCTTCATAACTGCCTGTCTTCTCACCTGTTTCTGCATGTGATGCTGATGGAACAAGCGCTGCTTCATCAGAGCCTGCAGCTGGGTGTGCTGGTCCAGCAACTGCATCGCGAGGAGGTCTGGCGCGACCAGCGGGAGGGGAGAGCGGGCCCCGCTGGCGGCTGCTCCCCCACTGCCGGCGGGGGAGACTGGGGCCGGGCTGGAGTGGGCCGAACCACCGGTGGGAGAAGTAGGAGCTGATGCCTGGTGGAAACAGTTTTGATTTGCAGAATGGTTAAACCATTGGTGGTAGGGCAAGCTATACAGGGTGATTTAGGGGTCGTGGAGCAAGAAAGAAGCGTTTAAATTACTTTCTCCTACTCTCCTATTATATGGGACGTTAATAAATACCCTTAAAGCTTTTTTCTTTTCCGCGAATTAGCGCAAGGCATAGTGATGACGACTCAATTTGTTCTTTTATTTTTTAGACGTGTTTACGTTTAGTATGATGATAATAACATGACGTGAGTGATTATCAGATCAAAGTTGGAATTTCGTAAATACTATACTATACCTATTCACACTTATTTATTTAGTTTTTAAAGTAAATTGCATTGTTTAGTGCACTTTTTAAATACGTTCAAGTTAATAACATAGAATGTAACCTTGTTGGTGGTCAAATAAATAAATAAATAAATAAATTAGAACACTAAGGCTGGGTTGCACCATCTTACTTTAACATTGACAAACGTCAAAAATCTGTGTCAAACTCTATACAAAAAGCACCGTTTATCGTTAAAGTTACGGTCAAAGTTAGGTGTACTACTTACTCAGCCTAAAACTTTTTCCTTTTCCACCCGATATAGTAAAGTTCACCGAAATTATCATCACACAGAAAGGGACACAAGATAGCGAAACTTACCCGTGCGAGCGAGAGGGGCTCATGGTCCCGAGGGGGTGAGGCGCGGCGCGGGGGCGAGGTGCGCCGGCGCCGCCGCGCCGCCTCGCCGCCCCACCTGCCGGACTCCTCTCTGAAACAAACTCTTTGATTGGACTAGGTTCGATTCCAGGCTAAGTCATGGTCTCAGAAATAGCAATTTGGGAAGATGGTTTTTAAAATCTGATCAATAATCTGGAAGCATTATGAGGTCGTCGGTCCACGTTGTGGGTCGACGTCTCAAACTGCAATTTCTGGTACGTGGCCTCCACTTCAAAATCTTGCTGCGCCATCGGCCGCACAAAGGTGGCAGGAAGGCGCTGGATGTACGCCGCTACCAACTGGACGATGTGGAAATTATAGGGGGAGGCCTATGTTCAGCAGTGGACGTCCTGTGGCTGAAAGAATGATGACGATGATGAATCTGGAATCTAACTGTGCGGGATGGAAATAGGATCAACCACTATCACCCGTGGATCATTGTGCTGCCCGTTGACCTATAAAAGTCATTTAAGATACCAGCTGCCTTTCAAAAGTCGCATCGCGAGCCTTTTTTCGAAGACTGCAATAGATAAAACACTGTTGATTCGTCATTCCATGATATGAGTCGACGAGAAAACTGCACTGTAGCACCTTAATGGAACTCTAGTCATGATGTGCTGTCTTTATGTCCTCATATAAATCACTATAATTCAATGGCAGACCATTGTTGGCTTAAGCCCCTAAGGAACGCAGAACGATCTTCCATTTTCATCCTGCCACTGCACTGCAAAGTGTGAGCTACCTTCGTTAGGTAGCAGTCCATCGCGGACGTCTGAAGGAACGCTATAAAGCTTCATTTCTCGCTTTATTTATCCAGCCTCTGCTATACTTCTTGAAGTCGTCGGTCCATCGAGCAGGAGCGCTATATTAACTTACCGGTCAAGACACCGGTCCAGCTCGAATGAGTTGAGTAGCGGTGGCTTCGCGGCGCCACCAGAGTTTGAGTTCAATGCCGGCTCCGGACCCTGCAACAATAACATCCTCATTTAAGTTTCGTTTCATGATTGGCTGATAAAGTCCCTGATAGTTTATTTATCTTACAGATAAACTACAAATTTATGTTTTATAGGTCTCGTTTACAGAAATTATGTGACCTTTTCCTAAAACAAATTAAATTCGCATTCGAATTCGCAACAGTCGCGAATTCCTAAGGAAGTATTCTGATACGCTTTGATTTTCGAAATTAAATTATTACCCTTTGAAACCACAGGTGTTTCTTTATTCAGTACATAATAAGGCTTAACTCTGCTAGGTATCTGGATAAAATAAATATCCATGTATGTACGCTATTAGCCCAGGTCATAGATTTAATCAACATTCGTATGAAAGATTAAAATAAAATGAAAAATCATGGCGAACCCGCGCTCTGATGGTAGAAAAATATCCATGATGTCCCATTGCATCCACTTCAAATCACTTTAAGATAATTAGTAATGTCACCGGAAATACAGCTTTACAAAACAATTGTTTTTACATTACTTAATTATTTTGTTGGTTTAAGAAAAAGAACTGTAAGATAACATGAAGTAGGTATCGGACACAAACCCCTTTAGACTACTGATGTTAATTAATCATTAGGTTTAAAGGGAACATTTTTAATCACGACAAACTAAACGTCACTTTTCTTTATTGCACTCCGTCAAAAATTGCAAGTAAACAGCAGTAAATCTCAACTGTAACTGCTTTAAAATCGCAATGTCAAGTACAGAATCATGATAACCGGTTTAGTACCCCTAAGATAAAATTGCAATAGCCCATTCAAGATACAACCAAAGAAATAACTGTTGTTGGGCAAAAATCGAAAACCTGTTCATTGTATTGGTCAATACCAACACCTTGCTTTTGCGAGCATGTCATGGGATCCTGTAGTATAATGGAATACAAAAGTGGTCCTCGCATAGTAATAGTTATGTGGTGATTAGTACTGGTGAAAAGAGGATGGGTGACCGTTTAGAGACGTCATGATAATAGGGTTCAGATGAATATTTGAAAGACGTTCCTAGACTATCATCCTAGACTGCGTCTCAAAAACCAGGAGCGGTCCAAATACCTGCCTCGTTATGCAATAAAAAAAAACTAACTGAAAATTGAATAAAGTTGGCTAGTAAAGACAGTTAAACATCCTAAAATGCGTCTCACTTAACATCAGTTGCGAATGCAGTCAAATACCTGCCTTGTTCTGCATAAAAAAATTAAAGCTTACTGCAGGAACTGACTTTAGGTATATCTAAGACTAAAAAATAGCAAAAAAATAATTTTTCTTTTCGTCAGGAACCAGTAGTGTTGTGACTGCCTGATAATAGAAATAGGATATGTACTATTGGTCGGTGGACATAGTGAGCTGCAGCGCTCATAATTAGTGACCGAATTTATTTTTTGCCGATTTGGAAACCCCTGAAAATCGTATGACCACACTCACTACGCCATGACTACACTACGGTTTGGGGTTCTCGTTGTCTCTACCTAGTGTTTTCTTTGTGAGCAAGATATTAAATTACTAACTCCAATTAAAATGGTAGCTAAGTTAGACGATCCTATGCCTGCATACTGGCCGGCTAACACACGGGTGATGTAATAGTTTGTTTACATTATTTGATTTACATTACCGCCGCGTAGGCGCAGAGCAAACGCGGACTGTTTGTTGTGCTCTGCTAATAACGAATTGTAGAAATTTTTGTATTATTTAGTCTTTCAGAAGTTTCCGGAGTACACAGAAGAAGGATTAGACTGCAAACTCGTTAGTTTCAGCCAAATGATGTCCACAGCTGGACAAAGGCCTCTCCCAGGATTTCCAAAACGACCGGTCCTGCCCTGCTCGCATCCAGGTACTTTCCGCGACCTTCACCAGATTGTCGGTTCACCTAGTGGGACGTCTGCCCACATTACGTCTTAAGTTCGGCTCGTGGTCGCGGACAAAAAATGAGCGAGAACAAAGATGAAGAAAGAAGTTTTCTTTAGAAGTTCAAGAAAAGCTCGATTTTTAAAGATACGCAACTTCGTTTTTATTTTCATGTCGTGTTGGTAGAGCAAGCTATTAGGGGCGTTTATAAATGCCCTGAAAAGGGCCTATATACTCGTATTTATGATGAATTTGCATTAAGTGCTCAAAATAGATTAGAACCTATGTATTTATAAGTAAAAAAAAATTTAGGCCGACATAGGATTCTAGATTACGTGTTCTATTGCGAAAATTAAAGTTACATAAATAAGTGGTTTTCATTAACATTTCTTTCAAAACGAGAAACTATCTATATATATAAAAGAAAGTCGTGTTAGTTACTCCACTTATAACTCAAGAACGGCTGAACTGATTTAGCTGAAAATTGACAGGGAGGTAGTTTAGAGCCAGGAGAAGGACATAGGATACTTTATATCCCGTTCGAAATAAAAAAAGTCTGCTTATTTATTGCCATTAAGGCGGAACAAAGTTCGCCGGGTCAGCTAGTTATTTATAAAGATGACATGCATCAAATTGTCAGCATACATCCATGCTATTGTTTCCACCACGCTGGCCATAGGAAAACATATTTGCACTATGACCTCACCAGAGATCTGTTTTGACAAATACCAAGAGCTATTATGAAAACTAGATTGTAAACTATGCCGGTACTATTTTTTAAAACATCCGATGTCCTAGACAATTTGTTAGGGCATTGTTAGGACTGTGGTATAAATATTGAAAATCGTCAGCTGATAGTGACATGTTAACTGTTGAAGAATCTTTCTGTTTGGCAGAACCACGTGCAACTTCGAGCATTTTCTAGAAGTTGACTGTGGTCGACTCTACCAGAATCCTCGAAAACCTAGTCAACTATGGGGACCATTGTCTAATCTGAGTACTCGTATATCTTCAATAGCTCTTATGTAAAAAAAAGGCAGGCAGAAAGGCTGGTAATATGCCAATATTACGCAAATAACAGAAAGCCTTAAACTCGATAAAATTTTCAAGCTAAGATTGAGCTAAATTGAATTTAATTTAGAACCCTGGTCTCATCACAAAGCTCTCAGATAGTGAAGAAAAAGTGGTATTTTCACCAAGGAACTTACCTATAGCTCTATTGGGTATACATTAAGTTCTGTTTCTTCAAGCATAAGCCAATAATTTTGAAAAGACAGCAACATTTCTAAATGGATTTCCCGTGAATAAATCTAAATACCAATTCGATCAACCACAAGCTTGATTCCATGATAAAAGCTTACCTATGGAAAACAATTTCAATTCAATTTACCTATCAGCTTTTATTGTTACTTAGTTTATTTGATTAGTAACAATTAATATTACTATATCAAATCTGCAAAATGGCCAACTAATTAAGTACTCCGCCAATAGGTGCAACAGAACTCTTTGTTAACGAATTACTTGTAAAACTAAATACCCCGATTGTTTGCACCAAACATCACGTCCACGAAGACATAATACGTGTTTTGTTTACACTTTGTTTATTGTAAACACGGCTGAAAGCGTGACGTTACATAATAATTAACGAATTGCACAGCAAGCGGAAGTGGGACAATTAGTAAGATATTGGTTTTTAATTGCTTGCACTTTAATTGGATATGAGAATTGCTGATTTGTTGTGAAAAATCAAAAATCAAGATCAAAATCAAAAATATTTATTCAGTTTAGACCACAAGTGGCACTTATTATGAACGTCAAAATATAGTAAATAATAAAAAGAAAAGGTAGTGACTCTACAATGATCGTCATTTGAAACTTTATTTCAAGATTTTAAGATTTTAAATACTTGCCAAATGTTTGTCTCGAAGCGCTGATATAGGGCAAAAAAAGAATGAGACTTGTAAGGCACCAGAGCATTTGACTACTAGTAAGTAAAAACTAATTCAATTAGTGTATGCATAAAGATAATTTTGATTCTGATTAAATTTTAAGTAGATCGTAAGATGGAAAGATCGTAGATTGCTAATAAAGATTATTGATTTTGATGATTAGTTACTTACCTATTGATTTTTATAATAAAATTCCCAAGAAAGTGTTACAAGTACGTAGATTTATCTTTGAAAAACGTTATGTCCATAAAACCATGGTACTATTATTTAAAAATACGATTTAAGTAAACTAGAAAATCATATAATATCTAATATGTAGAGCAGTACGCATTCAAAAACTATTTATTGAAAGTTTTAAGTTACAAGTCGGTGGCCAAACTAGTATAACTACAGGAGTATTTGTTGTACAAAACAAGGCTCGTTCGAACGAACCCGAGACCATATTTGAGTCAGCACTGTTTTGCTATCGGGTTACTGTTTTGTTTTTGGCGAAAAACAGCCGACGCCGCGAAACAAAACATGTATGTTGCGGGGTACAATAACAAAAACTAACGATAAATGCAGCGATTGTGCTCGCAACAATTATTATTACAAATACATCTTTATGCTGCTTATACCTACATCACAGATAATATAATACCCTACATGTAGATATGAGCAAAAACCTTCAAGAAATGAAAATGAACGCCTCCGTGTGATCTAGGTTTAAGTTGGAGTATGAAAAATGCTTAAAGGACAAATACATACAGCCGAACATAATTATAACTTCCTCCTTTTTTGAAGTCGGTTAATAAAGAGCGTACCGCGATTAGAGAATTATACTTATCGATTGAAGTTATCAAATTCCACAGCAACATACAATTTCCATGGTAAAGATGTTAGAAAATCATAATAATAATATCACCTGATGCCTGATATGGATGACTTCCATGGATATGCAATATAGATCCGTAGTTTTCAAATTCAAGACTTTGACTCTTTTTTAGAGTTTTCTGGTTTTAAAAATCACACAAATTGAGAAATAACTGTGTTTTCTGGTTGTTTAAACCATCATTCTAATGCTACTACAGTTTTTTTATGTTACCCACCCACACCTTAGTTATTAATTGTCTGAACGAAATGATAAAATTTGATGAAGTGTCTCAGAGAGCATCATGTAGAGCGGGCCGATTGAGTC